GCGCTGGTCGAAAAATATATCCGAGGAGCGCGACGCCCCACATCAAATAGTCCTTGCGTCCGTGGACGATCGTTGGAGCCTCTTATTGTGTCTGGCCGTGTACATGGAGACGATGATGGACCCCCCGGATGGTGATTGTTTCCTTTACGGCAATGGCAATGACGGGCACAGAATGGTTCGCTCCCTCCTTGGTGTGGCTCTGGACCATAACTTGGTAACAAAATCGATCTGGTAAGCTCAAAACGCAGCCAATCAAAGCTGGGATCATTCGCTTTCTTGTAAGCCAATTAGACAGCCTCAACTCGACGTATTAGAAAAATGCCGCCAATCAGAAGAAATATGTGACTCATTTTGTGGACCAGAGTAGTATGCCTGTACGCCGAACGCGGAAGTTGTAAAGTCGAAACATGTTGCCAAGTCTTGTTTTGCGCAACACTGGATCAAATGGTAGTGGAAGCATTAGCTGCCGATAGACCTTGGGACTGCCCCCATACCCCACTCTGCAGCCTGGCGAAGTAACGTGATACAATCGCTCATGGTCTGCAGTCCGAGTCGACACTCTGGTGGGTATCGATCCAAGTCCCCTTGCTTCAACGGCGTGACAATTCTGCCCAACGCAAGCCCTCCGACAGGAAAAGCAGAGTCAGAAGCCAACTACATGCCATGTGCAACACGGCTGTCGTCGGCTAGCATCTCCTGCAGCCTTCGGCTCAATTCGCCATCATTCCAAGAGCCCGGGCAGTTGTGGCGACCCCAGATGATCGTGCCATCGAGTCCAAAGCATAGAACACCAGTGACAAACACCGAGTGTAACCACCCTAAAGACAGATCAGTGACCCGATACTCTCACATGACATACCATTGTAGTGGGCATTCTGCAAATCCGCACAAGACGGCTCTTGTACACGAAGGTTTTTGCCGTCGACAAATCCAAACACGCCGGAAACGAGGGGCTCACGCTCTTGTGACTTCAACGCCCAATATTGCTGATTGGTCTTGGACGGCCACAAAATCCTCGCAGCTGGTAAGCACTTGAGCGCCCTTAACAGAGCATCTTCGCCCTTTCGCAGTAGCTGTGACAATGTTGTGGATGCAACGCCAAAGAGTTCCTGCAGCGTCTTGAGCTCAACAGCCGCAGTGTAGAAGTGGAGCACAATGGCTAAAACAGCGTGCACGTGTTGGACGCGAGGTGGACGTCCACACTGGCCTGGCCGAGTTAGTACAACGTATTCGCGATTGAAGTATACAAAAAGCTCATCAAAAGCTTCGGGAGTGAGCGAGATTGTTGCTATAAACGATGCTGTATCACGCGAGGCATACATGTAGTACCATGCAGTGTCCGTCTGGTTTGCGGGTAACGAGACTGTTTGAACTCTGTTGCGCTCCTTGAGAGCTGTGCGGAGCTTTAACGCACGCAGTCTTCTAAGCAAGGAGCGACGTCTTGACAGTCGTGCCATCATGACGCCGATGAGTTCGGAACCCATAATTGTGATGCGTTTCTCATTGACCTAGGTACCAGTAATTTCTTACCCAATGAAAAGAAGTTTTTGATTCATCATCACCCAATAAGAATGCAAGAGTTTGCGATTTTCGATTTTGCTGTGGTTTTGGTGCCCTCGCGTCTTACAAATTGTGATAATTCCCTCGAGACACAATAAAAACACGGGCACTGTCCGGATGCAATATGCGATGTGAGGGGTGTTTGCGAGGGTTTCGGGAGTCCCTCGATGTTTGAAGTATTTGTTCCATTTTTGATTTTTTCTTGATTTTTTCTCTTTTCTTTTTCTCTTTTCTTTTTTGTGTTTTCTCTTACCTTTTTACTCAATTTCTACTCTTTTTTACTTTCGTTTTTGCTCGCTCTCTGACTTCTTCTTTATTATTCTCTTTGCGTTGTTCGGCCATTTTTCTTCGTATTTCGCGATGTATGACCACTTGACGTTCGGTACTTCCAAGGATTACTGATTCGATGCTTGTGTTTTCTTGAATAGCCAGGTCTGTAATAAATTTCAGGCTATTTCGTGCGTCCAAATTGCTCGCTTCGGGTATAAGTTGACGAAGCCGGATAATTACCTTGCGCTGATTGCTGGTTATGTGGTAAAGATCTTGGCGCAATTTATGCACTGTTTGCGTAACTGGCTCGAAAAAGGTCGGCGATATCAGTGGTGCAAAAAACCTGAGGGACACGTGTTCCTTTTTCGCTACATCGACCGATTAATCTAAGACTGCATATGGATTCGGAACCTCAGCTGCAATGTCTACTCCTTACGACGATTGCGGAACAACTCCGAAGAGTTGTTCAAATTAAGTTGTATCATATCATGAGTCTGGTCGTGATCAATATAGTATGCGATTGGCTAAAATTAAAATATTTTCAACCTGGATGATTGTACTGCTCAACGATATTAATATTCCAAAAGTAGGGACCAGTACCACGGGGGAAGATTTTCCGTCGTTCCCTGTAACACCCCTCGCGATTTAATGTAACA